AAATTGAGGCTGAAATCTTCATTTGGACCAGTCCAAACTCAAACTTGTTAATCCTTTTTAGTGTAGCCTGCATGTTGCCCTGGACTTCTTCCTGACTGATTTTTGTTTGATATTTTGGTTGTTCGTTTTTTTTTCAATTAGGGTTTTATTCAGTATGGAAAATGGTGGTGCTTTATATTGATAAAATACATGTATTCCTACTGATAACTTCTGTTCTTTAGTTGCTGCAGTGCACCACCTCTTGACATTTTTTTTGTTTATGAGAATAATGGGTAAATAAGTGGATTTAAATATCTTCTAACTCCTTGTATCGTTCATAAAGATAGAAGATGCTTTCCAATCTCTGTGAACTTTAATGTTTCAAATACACCATATTTCAGAAGAAAATTTTTGCGTTTATCTTTCACTGTACTCCTTAAAGTGCATCCTGTAGTCCATATTGCAAAAGTATACTTATTCAATCAACATATCCAATTTCCATACTCCCTCTCTTGCTCCCAATCTTGGCTTGAGAAAAGAAAGTAAATATTATAGTGTGTTGTTGTTTAAAACAAAATAAAATCTTGGCACTAGTTGTTATTGATTGATTTAATTTTTTCAATAATTATCTTATAGACTTTGTTAACAAGAAATAGTAGAATTATTTGTCCAATTTTATGAAAAGAAATGAATAGGAGTTTCCATTAAGAAATGATAAGATGCCTTAATTATGGTAGAACTACTCCTATTTGCTTTCTGCAGAAAGATGAGGGATATTTGTGCTCTTTGTTCAATTTAGACAGTTATGGAACCATCTGTCTAGATATACCATCATTCTTGATAATTATGTTATGAAATTCCCGACAGCTAATATTTTTTTGTCCACAATTTTGTTCATATGCCAAATTTGGTTCAACTGTTCTTCTATGTGTGCAATGAATTAAATGTATGACATATCACCATCATCCGACCTTTGTTATTTTTTCTTGTTATTAATGTTTGCAGGTGAATTTTGAATTTTTCGGAAGAGGGTCGACTGCATGCGTACATTTCGCAACGTAGTAATTTGAAGTACATCAAAACTGTACTTGAGAAATTCGATTAGGAATTTATCAAGAAATTTACAACATACTGGAATCTTAAAGAAATAAAACCTAATCAACTACTAAGAAAATACCTATAAAGATTGAATTCAAATGTAATAATGTAGTACTCTTTATTAATTTGTATCTGCTTAAGAGTTTTTGAGTATCAAATAAATTTAGTACTCTCTTTTATCAAATATTGAAATTTAACAAATGTAACAACGGGGTGCTTTATTTACTTGATTCAATGACTTACCGGCATCATGAAGTGCATTCTTTAATATTAATGATATGATTTTTTGAACCTAAGATGAGGCATTTTTCCTTGCAAAACCTGTCTAAATTTGTGCATAATCTTTTAATGGCACTTGAAAATGGAGAAATTGTTGTGACCATGAAATGTTTTCTTATTTTTATTACAAATATTTTTTCATTGTGATGTTATTATGCTTGGGTGATCTATATTCATTAATTGCGAACTTCTAATTTATAAATTACTATTTGGGGTGCATTATCATTTGTGACATTTTATATGTGTTCGACTTCATGATGTTACACGTTTCCATAACCTTCTTCTACAACAAACGAAGGATCTTGAAAACATGTAACCCTCACCGTGTCGATAATTGGAAGCTCGATTTTTAGAAGACTAACACAAAGAGAAATTTCCTTTTGAATTGTATATACCAATTCAAGTCTTCAACTTTCTGTATTTCTGCTGGAGGTATATTCATGTTCAGGATTTGGAACTTCAAATCACCACCTTCACATCGTTGGTTGGCAATGCTACTGCTTCCATCCATTTAGAGACATAATCAACTTCAATTAGGATATACTGATTTGAGAACGATGGAGGGAATGGCCCATAAAGTCAATCCTCCACATATAAAAAAGCTCCACCTCTAGAATGCTATACAGAGGCATTTTGTTCCTTCTCGAGATATTTCTCGTGCGCTGACATTTGTCACACATCTTTACAAACTTAAACGTCCCGGAAGATTGAAAGCCAATAGAAACTAGACTGTAGAATTTTTTTTGGCCATCTTTGATACACCAAATTGTTATGCGTATGCAGATGAGTGACATTGTTCCAATATTCAAAGCACTTTCTCCTCAAGTACATATCTCCGAATAATCCAATTTGCACTTTCCTTGTAGAGAATGAGATCTTCCCAAAAATAATATTTTAAATTATAAAAGAATTTATTCCTTTGATGACTTGAATAATCCGATGGAGTGATATATTTAGTCAAATAATTTACTATATCAGCGTACCATAGCATATCTTCCACACTGAACATCTGTTCATCTGAAAAAAATTTATTTATTTCTATTGACTCCTTGTGCTCTCCAGATTCAAGTTGGGATAAGTGGTCTTCTATCACATTTTCACTTCTTTTCTTTTCTCTAATCTCCAAATCAAACTCTTGTAGGAGTAATACCCAACAGATGAATCTAGGCTTGTCATCCTACTTTGTCTTCAAATATTTGAAGGCAGCATAATCGATGTAGACTATGACCTTTGATCCAATAAGATAGGATCAAAATTTATCAAAGGCATAAACCACATATAGAAGTTCATTCTCAGTAGTGGAATAG